TCAAGTGGCAAGAAGGCTCGTGAGAAGTTTTTGAACTTGACCAGCTTTTGAACCTAATCCAGTGTTACTGAATTACCTCCCTTTCAGCTGCATAATTTAGCAGTGGAACTGGAGAAGACTTTCTTCTCCTTTCCAGAGAAGAGGCTGAAGAGACGCTGCTAGTTTCATCATACATGTCCTCCGTGCTGGTAGTAAAGGGCTTCTTGCTTATGCTTCAGGTTCAGGATGGCTGAATGCACCGGTAATAGACAGCACTGTACTCGTAGGCTAATGATCCTGAAAAAGTCTTGAGAGCTTGTATGCTTCTCTTGTAACAAAGAACTACTGGCGAGGCACTGGACTTAAATTGGGGCAGAAATTTCAGCCACTCATCTGAAGCAGAAGTGATACTGGAGTAACAAGAAGTTAAAAATGTTTTTCTTAGTCGGTAATGTGATGAATTTTTCATGCTGTGTCTTCATATTTGGGCACAGATTTCATTCCCAAGAATCAAGTAACCTTAAATCGCCTCTCTGGACATCAGTGTAGAAAAGCGTTGAGATATGAGGCTTCTAAACGGGCAAAATACCAGCATATGTAGCAGTTGAGGTATTTGTAGGTTGTCTCATGAGAGGAAAAGCATTTGGGGTCTTGCTGGAACCATAAGGAAAATGCAAAAAGTCTTTATTCCCAGAAGCTACTAAAGCATTTCAGAAGAACAAAGACTGCTTGCAGAAACCTCTCTGTAAGCAGGTTAATGAGGTATTCAAATCAAGCCTACAAAAACTTACAAGAAGGGGAACCAAAAGACAGCAAATATGGATGGCTAATAGATTTATCTGGAAAAGCTACTGTTGACCAGAAATTGGGGTTACCAGGTGTTAATTTGCCAGCTATCTCACTTAGTTTAGGAGACATGAGAAAGGCCAGATTGTTGCTCACATCTTTTTCTCAGTTCTTTAAAAAAAAAAAGAGATTCTAATGCAAAATGATGAAATTGGGATAAAATGGAAGTGGGATAAAAGGGGGCTGTGGGAGTGGCATAAAATGACAGTTACAGAATCCTGTATCCTGTGCCAGCAATATTCTCCCTTATAGTATTGATAGCTGTACTGATTGGGCATACGAGAACTTCTGCTTCTGTGTGATTCAGGATTTTATTAGAAAACTTGCCGTCAAAACTGAAATATGAATGTAGGAAGTAGGCCTACTTCCCTTGATTGTGATATGTAAGTAATCTTTCTGGGAGGGGTGGGGTGCAGAGAAGGGTGTTCAGAAGTGTTTTAAAAGCAAATGCGTGTCATGAAGTAAAACAGTAGAGTCCCATATAATGGTTTTGTCACCAGACTGATCTATTAATCCAGGGGTTATTCTTGTTATGAAAGGAGACTGCTTGTCATTCCTGTCTGTTGGCCCTCCGCCTCTCCAGGTGGCATCTAACTGCTGGAGGAGGGCTTTTTAACTTCATCTGGGTTCTTGTCACGCTGTAGTTAGAGATGCCTAACCTTTTACAGCTCTGTTCCTGGATAAAGAGTAAAACTGCGCTGTTCCAGTAATACGTATATACAAGTATTGCGAATAGGGTTATGACTCAGCCTTTCCCCAGAGACTTAGCGGTGGAGCGAAGGTGGGAGGGGGGGAACAAAACAGAGCCACAGACCAAAAGTGCTTAGAATTTCCCATCCTTAAGTCAGGCGTCCTTGTAATTAAACAGAGTTGAGAGATGAATCAACGTGCAAAAATGCAGAGCTGCTCGTGATTGTTGGAGGTACAGGCGGAATGGCAGGAATAGTACGGGGACTGCGGTAATCTTTTGGAGACATACCAGGCTCAGCATTAACAGACAGAGAGCCAGTGCCAGAGACATCAAGCTTTCTAGAACAGAAGAGATGCCAAAAGCTCTGTTTGGGTTAGAGGATACTGAAAGGAGAGCCTTAGGGGTAATGGATCCTTGCCCAGTCAGCATAACCCCTGTCCCCACTGTAACCTTGATGCTGGAGAGAGACTTTCTGATTTCTGAAATCCTTTAAATATCACACGAGCTTTTGGGGGTTTGAACTTTGCTCACAGTAGAGAGTGGATTTTGCTAATGCTCTTGGAGAAGCAATAGTATTTATTTCCTTGTTTAGTGTTAGAGGGAGCAGACATACTTAATGGCAGACATAAAAGGCAGGAAACAAATCTGAACGTGTGATAATGTCTGACCTCATTCTGTAGCTCATGTGAGGCTGGACCTAGTCAACTGCTGATCAGCTGCAAGCTGGGAGGGAGGTACTGGAGGCTGGGAGATTCTTCTAGTAATCAGTATGCTAAATATATCAAAGAAGATATATTACAGACAGGAACACTTCCGTTGATTGCTTCTGTGTTGATGAGCTTTGCTGCAGGGTGGCCCACTGTGTCTTAAAGTTTTGTTGCCACTTTGGTCATCTGTTGCCTGTGTAATTCAGTTGGAGGTGATGCTGTATTGGTTTCTGTGAAGTGGGGACATAAACTGGAATGAAATGGCTAAACTTGTTTCATGTCAGCCATCAAATAACCATCAGCTTGGACTGCTAGATAAAGACTTGAACAAAGCAATTCTGGTGTATGATATGCCAAAAAAAAGTATTCCGTCCTTTTTAATGACCCAGTCTCCTGAACTTCATCCAGCTCCACCCTCAAAAAAAAAAAAAGACCAAGGGCTTTAATGCCTTCTGAAGACGTATGTATATATGTCAGCTCGAGACTACTTACTAAACTCATTTGAAGTCTTCATTCTTAACCTACCTCACGGCATTGTGTCAGAAAGCAACACCATTGAGTCTGAATACTAGGCAAATATTCCAGAATAATTTAATTCTTAGGAGACATGCTTGGGAGGTGGTACGCTTACCTGCATGGAAGTACTGAATTTAAACCGTTGTCCAGTGTGAGAGGCCAAATGCCTATCCAGCCTTGACTGCTCTTGGGTGAAAGCTCTCCTGCTGGTTTTTTGCTTCTGCTTTCAAGACCCTGTGCACAACCTCCTGTTCCTCAGCTGCTTTGGCCTGACCCTCAGCCGGAATACCTTCCTGCTAGAAATCCGTTGGTAGACAGCGAAGGAAAGCTGAACAGTGACAGATACTAGCAAGCAGAGCTAGTTTAACTGGTGAGCTAATTTTTTTTTGCTGCTGTACCAGGCTTTGATTGTCTGAAAATACCAAATCATTGTAAGCAGTGCAGAGGTTTGAGGAAATAGATGTCTGACTCCAGTGTTCCCAGGGTATAGCCCTGGAACTACTTTTCAAGAGCAAATACTAATTTCAGCTGGAAAGCACGAGTCAGCTGGAAGGGAATCTAGTGATGAAGGTAAGAGACTTCCATTTTCCACTTTTTTGTGAAAATAATCTTGTGGTTCTAAGCTCTAAAGAGAATAGCGTTGTGCTCAGTTGCACACGTTTTCCATCGATTGGTTAGTTGAAAAAAATTGACTCTGTGTTGGTATGTGCCTCCTTAAAAAGCAAGTGTGTTATAAAATGGGTGTACATAGTTCTATGTATAGCATCGTGATGGTTTTTCTAGCGATTTACCTATTCATCAAGTGTAAATAGATGGCTGTTCACTTCAGCTGGTGCTTCAGGAATCAGTGAGTAAACTCTCTGTGGAATAAAACCCAGGCAGTTTGCAAACAGCCTGAGCTTCCAGCTACTGGCTGAACTGAAGAATCTTAAGTGTGAAATGCACTGCGAAAACATTTTTGCCAGTGAAATGTGTGTTGTCCTGGTGGGAAGAAGGGTACTGAGAAATTGCTTCTTGGCAGTTCAGGGAGTGTAGGTGTCCAGTCCCCACACAGTTTGCCAGAGATGTCTGCAAAGCTCTGCCTGCTGTGAAATAGATTTTGCTGTTTAGGTACTTGAAAAATCTTAGGTGTTTTTGTGCTGTAACACCAAATGTTCCACATAACCTGCCACGTGCCTGTATACCAAAATATAGAAAATTAAATCGTGTCCTTTAAATGTATATGCTGTATACACCAAAGCACTAGAAAGTGTCGCCAGGTTCAGGAGGATTGAGTAAAGATGCAGAAGGCAAGTTGGAGGCTTGAATGTCAGCATTCATCTGTTGTTTTATGTTGTCTTACTGCAGGTGTCTGAAAACCATACCTAAAGTTATAGAAAGCAATAGATTAAAATCTTATTCTGTTGGAAATGTGACTGTGGGTATGTTTCCACTAAAACCAGTTGAATGTTTTGAGGTTGTAAGAGCTGGTGTCAGTTAAGGAGAAAAATGAATTTGTGGTGAAAGACTTGGAGTCAGAAGAATGAGGCTTGTTCCTGGCTCCGCAATGCGTTTCCCATGTGACTGCAAAAGTCACAAAATCCTTGTGTTGCAGTTTTCTATTCTCAGTGTGGGGATACTAGCCTTTTTAGAGGCACAGTAGCATCTTTACAATTAATTAAGCATTAATATCTTATATCCAAGATCTCTGGTGGAAATCCTGGCACTGTGATCTGAAAATGATTGCCAAAGTCAGCACAGCCTGTTAGGTATCTTGAGGAGCTTATTTAATTTTAGTTGCTGTGAGAAGTATGTTTAAAAAACCCCCAAAAACTTAACAAAAAAACCCAAAAAACTGGGGGGAGTCTTTAAGCATGCACACATTCTTCCCAACGTTACAGAGACCTTGACTGTAAACGGTAGTAGTGCCTTTTGGGATGGGTTTGAGGTGCTAGTTCAGCCTCAGCTCCTTTTTGATCTACATATAAAGAACATTTAGGGACCTAAAGATGCTTGTAAATGAGTTTATTTACAATTCAACTATGTTTCTCTTTTTCTGTGCTGGATCTATTTCCTTGGTGCTTTAAAGGACTTTTTTGTACAGTAGAGTTGTCACTGAGGATGAGAAGTGTCACTTGGAGTAGAAACTGATACCAATAAAATTACTATGTTCATGTAGATTTACTTGAGAGCCATCTCCCGTTTCTGACCTGTCATTTAATTTGGACCAGTCCTAACCTGTGTAGGTGGGTTACCACCAGCACATACTCGTTACAGCCGTCATGTTGGATTTTCTTGGTGGGGCTGTTATCGCAGGGAGGTAAGTGTCTCCTGCAGAAGAGAAGCAAGAGAAGAGAATCCCTAGTCCTCTTTTCTTTTCACCTTTTCTTTTCCCTCATTACTCCCTTTCCCTTGCTGCGTACCTGTCTTGTCATGTACTGTTGGGGATAAGAATAAGATGATTTTAATTGGGGGGAGAGGGGGGAACTGCTTTGTCTAGACTACATAGCAGTCTAAATTCTAGGATTCAGCAGGCTTAACATTTCAGCTTTATGCTCTGTTCCTGTATCCTTATAATCTATTTGACATGAAATACTTGACAGGCGTAGGAAGCTAGATTTCCCATCTGCCAAATAAGATTGAACTTGCTGTAGCCATACTCACCTATTTAATAAGGCAGGTTGCATTTCTTCAGGGTCTATAAAGCATTGAACTAAAGACCATATAAGTGCAGCTGTTGCCAAGATGAATTAACTTGTGCTGCAGGAACAATTAATCCATTTAGGACCTCTGAAACGAAGATTTTTGTTACAAATTTTGAATCACAGAAAATACTGGTATGGGTGGGGAAAAATGAAGGGGTTCATGAGGGAGGCATGGAGATTTCTCCCAACTTGATTTCTTAATTTTTTTGCCTCTCTGCTTGCAGATTCTCACAAACACAAAGATAAACACAAAGACCGAGAACACCGGCACAAAGAGCACAAGAAGGACAAGGAAAAAGACCGGGAAAAGTCCAAGCACAGTAATAGGTGAGGAAAAAGTCAATGAAGTCCTCATAGGCTAAAACACTGTTGCGCATGCAGTCTTACAAGAATTACTCTGATTAATATATGAGGATGGAATTGCTACATTTGGAATATGGTTTATATGAGTGTAGGTGCTTTAAGCCTAACTTCTGTCATTGCATGCATTTCCACATGGGTAGCTGAAGTAGTGTGCCTTGCAAATGTGAGCCCATGCTAATGTCTAAAAGATTATTGTAGCTTAGTGTTATTAAAGGCATTGAAAACTAATTTAACCCTATCCTCATGAAAATTGATCAGTTTTGTTCATAATCTTTTTGGTGTGTGGTTCCAGTTGTTTATCAGAAATGAGGAGCTCTCTTGAGTGTTGGTATAAACCCTGATGCTTTAGCATAGATGAACCTGATGTGACTACTCAGCCTCCTAATAATTAGAAGTGTCTGGAGAGTTGGTCCCCCAGAATGATGGTGATATCCTTAGCCTGCTACCACAATGGCTGGATATCTCAACACTGTGAGGCAGTGTTATGAACTTCTGCTGAGTTAGATGATGAATTTGAAAGGATTGCATGCTGTTTTGTCTGATGTGGTTGATACGCTATACTGGCATTATATGGGGAAGGTATTTCATGCTGGTCACCTGACATATCATCCACAATGAACATAAACACTTATTTACTCTGTGATGACCCGTAGCTCTTGAGGTGGTGGTGAATTCCACGGTCCGGTTGATACCCTAGCCTAGGCTGTGAACTGCAAGAACCAAGATGTGCAGGTCTGTCTGTGGTGATTTGGTATGAGGGAGCACGGGGCACGTGCGTCACATGCAGGATGTTATTCAGAAAAGCTTTCCTAGTTGTTAACTATTGACATGCAAGTGCTGTGGAGCCTACATTGGCAATGAAATTGCAAAAAACCGTCCCTGGAGGGTAAGTTTCGGTTGTCACACTTGCTGAATGGCAGATAGTGTTTACGCTATGGCCAAGGAAGTTCTATTAACTAATTGCTGTGCAATTGTGATAACACAATCTAAAAATTAATAAAAAAGCTTGTGTTAATGATATCTATTAAAAAGTGTGGAAAGGAGGACAGAGTCTGTGCTGAGCAGTGGGTTTGTTTTATTGGGGTTGCACTTTATTTCTTTGAGTTTTCTGTGAACTTCTGAGAAGTTACACAACCTTACTGTTCTATGATATGTTTATTTTTTTTGAAAGTAAATGGTTGACGGGGGGTGGAGGGGAGAGGGCAAATCTAGGCCAAATAACTTGCAGCATTTACTGGCTTCCACAGCAAAGATGAAATGCTTTGGACCCAATGTTTGCACTCTTCTTTGTTCACATATCTACATTGCCTTGATTTCTGATTTTCTTTTTTCTGTTCTTCAAGCATGCACCCCAAAATTGATTGTCTCACATTTCCAGATGTTCATTGCTTCACTTGAGAAACTATTTTCCTGCAGTCTTAGCAAAGTACTCCTTTTGTAATGAGTAATGTAAGCACTTTCTTTACATTTCCAGAATTCATTAATTATTTGACCTTATTTGTGTAGGAGTTGGAAATGGTCAGTGTATTTTTAACTGGGAGAACTAATTATGGCTTATAACTTGAAGCTGCACACTATTGATTGTGTAAACAATAAACAACCAAAACAGTGGAAAGGAGATAAGAATGGCTAATGTGTTTTGTGAGGTGTAGCTCCTGAGATATGTAATCATGCTTTATCTTGAAGTAATTCCTTCCTTCCTACAGTCTTGTCTTGAAACCCTTGTGAGAAAGGCATCGTGTTTTCTAGGCACCGTGCCTAAAGCTTCTGGTCACTTTCATTTATCTGTTAAGTGTTCATTTGTCCTGTGAGCACAATATAGCACATCTCTGAGTCCCATAACAGGGTACATCTATGGATGGCATGACTGAGCGTAGGCACATGCAGGGGTTTTGTTCAAGGTGTGTTTTGGGGTGAGATTACATCACCCTGCTTTGCCCCTCGGGCCCCTGCACAAGGTGGGGCTTCACTTCCCTGGGCTGAGTGCACAGCTTGCAAAAGGTTTCTGTAGCGCGTTTTCTGCCTTTCAAAACTGTCACCTTAAAAATGAATGTATTATAGTGCTGAATTGTGGGATCTGGTCTTGAAGGTGGTGCTCAGGGACGAGAATGTACGCGGACATGCGTGTGGTGCTCTGGTTGGTTTGCTCCTTCAGGAGTGCTCTAAAATCTTCACTGCCCCGATTCATGCTCAGTCATGCACAGGGTACACGGCTGTTTGCTCTCTAAAGCCAGCTGACTTCTAAGACAAACTTTTTAGAGATAATTGACTTCATAATCAAAAATGAACCCTTTAATTCAGCTGTCATCCACATAATGCCATAAATGTAAGTTCTATCTGTGAGGATCAGGTTTAGGTAGTTATTGTCTTGTGAAGGAGATAGCCCAGCAGCTCATGACATGGGTGTGGAGGTGGAGGAAGATCTGTGGTGAGCAGGGAATTGCTCAGAGGGGAGCTGCTGGAAACACACGCTCGTGGCCAGGCGACTGCCAAGTATTCATGTGGAAGGTGTGAATCCAAGGATGGCGGAGGCCACACTGGTGAGTTGTGGGACAGGATGGGGAAGGACTGAAGCAAGCTGAGTTTCAGTTCAGATTCTGTTACTACATTCACTGTACCAAAATACTTTCCTGGGCAGAGCCAAGAGAAGTCTGAATTTTAGGATGGCCCATGTGACTGTCCAGTGTCCATTATTATTGTACTGCTAAGATGGGTTGCACAGGGCAGGGGAAAGGGGCGTTTGATTACTTTTCCATTTTTAATAGCTTTTAATTTTGCTAGCAGTGGGAGGGGAGGAAATTGTTTTGTGGGGAAATACTGGAGAATTGTCTTCTTTCAAAAGGGCTCTTAGCTGTGAGGTAACAAGACCCAAAGCAAAATTGTTCTTGGGAATCTTGTCTTAGGCCTTTGTGATAGAGCCTTCCAAAGGGCTGGTTCTAGGTCCAGCTTATTTTGATACTTGGTTGTCATGGCTGTCACTGCTGAAAAAGATTCCTCATGCAGATGTGGATACGCAAGTGGAAGAAGTGTGTTGTCAGCTGCACTTACTGAACGGGGATGCTATTTTTTCAACCCCTTTACTGGTTAGGCAAAGGATTTTCTTGACACTGAGCTGGTAAATGTCCATTCTTCCCCAGTGTCAGCCAGTTGTGCCTGCAAGCGAAGTGAAAGCTGTTGCATTTTTAGCAAATGGGTTCCAAATCCATGGAAACTCTTCGCTTGAAAGATTTTCAGGCAGGTTAGAAAATTCTGTTTCCAAATTTTTCAAGTTTGCAGCTAGGAGACTCTTTCCTGGTGACGCATTTGCGTTGGTTTTGGGAACAAAATCACGTACTGATGGATCTGTTTTTGTGGTGGATTCTCTGAAGCACGAGTTTCTTTCAAAAAGCAGTTACTTTCTCACCCATTGTTCAAAGGGCACCTTCACCTTGAAGGGGCACCTTAGGTGTCTATTTTTTGGATAATATCTGCTAGGTAGGCTACTACTGACAGCAGCTGGTCATCAACAAGTGTGCAACGCTTGTCTTTTATAAAAGAAAGCTCTTTAAGTTTGACAGCTCTTTTAAGCCTTTTGCAGCGAGATAAGTGGTGAACCTCTGTGGTACAAGAGATTTTCATGGTTGCTCTCCATCTCATTACAACTTGGTGTAAAGACTCTACTGGTCAAAGGTCTTGTTTTTATAAACAAAGGTGGTGAAGTGCCCCTTCCAAAACCCACCCCATCACAGTGCCACCATGTTCCTGTCCCTCCGCTGTGACTGTCCAGCACCTGCTGTCTGCAGCAAAAACCATCAGCTGAACCCAACTGCAGGGGACCAGCAAACCTGAGAGCCTCTGCCCTGCTGAGGATTGCGACACCCATTTTGATAGGGGATATTTCTTCACAGAAGAATTTTGAAGGAAAAAAAACCTGCCTGTTTGTACTGAAGTTTCTCCTTTGATAATGAAAAACAAGTGAAAAATAGGCATTACTCCATTAGAAATTAAACAAAAAAATTCCAAGGTAACAAGAATGTGGGATTTTCCAATGGTTTTTACCTGTATGGGAAATTTTTAAAGCACCTGATAAAAGCCTGTCACCTGTTGCTAAATGGACAATGAATCTATTATTAGAAAAGTTTATCTTGGATTAATAGAACTGCATGGAAATATTAAGAAAATCCATTCTGTATTTCAGAAAAGCTGCTGTGTTATTGCAAAAGATGTGGTGGATCTTTAATAATTCTCCAAGAGGTTGAATGATGCTTGAGCAGAAATCCAAGCCATGGTTGTTGGTGAAACTTGGGTTTGTGTCTCTGTGGCTTTTTATACAGTGTGTAAAGAGTCCCCTGATTGCATTCTGAGAAGTACAGTACTGCATCGGGCATTGTGTGCAGTGAAGAGCATTGTCTGGTTGCGTTTGAAGCAGATCCGTTTTATGTCTGTCTGTAATAGTTTGGCAATTTCATTTCCTGTCCTGTACTTAAAAAAGGCTTTTAAAATAAAACCTGCATCAAGAAGGCAGAAGAACTCCAATGCAGGAGAATAAATGTTTCCTGTATCCAGACTTTGAAAGATCTAAACTGCCACGATAAGTCTCAGGAATACCTAAAATAGATAATTTTGATTTCATATGGCAGAAGTGTGTGGAGTGGTATGTAGAACTTCTTAATTTTGCTTCTTGCTTTCCTCCTCTCCCACTCACAAGATGACACTTCTGTATCTTAACCACACATTTACAGCTGTAGTAAACTGGGAGAGAACATTTGTATGCCTCAGATCTTCTCCATCACCCCTCAAGGAAAGAAAATACAAAGCCCACTTAAGAAAAATCCATATCAAAGAATAAATCCACATTGCTATCAAGCAATCTCTATCAAGCAAAGTGTTTTCTTTTGTTCCTTTTCTCAGCCCTGTACTTCCCGATCCCAAAAGAAAATCTAATACACACCCATTAAATATAAAAGTCAGTGGTTAAACAAATA